TCTATCTTTATCCTAGATTGTATTCTCTTCATATAAGGAGACTTTTTCCCCTTATCCAATATGCAACATTTTCAATCAGATCAGGAGATATTGCTGCTTGATCAGTAGGACTTATCTCCTTCACGTGCATCTCACATGTATAGGTTGATCATGACTGATCAGTAGGACTTATCTCCTTCACGTGCATCTCACATGTATAGGTTGATCATGACTGTTGCTTCACAAGATGGACCTGGTCCATGACTGAGTTCTTTTGTCAATCTTCAAAACTTCACCTGTTCTTGGGCCAACACTTAATTATTATTATTATCTATGATAATATATGGAAAATATTAGGTTCATAAAAGTCTCAATAGTAGTTACTTTCAAGCCCATTAATTCCAAAAAGAGTTTACTTATAATATACTACTAACTCCATCCCATTTGAGTTGTCAAGGTTACTAAAAATATTTGACCAAAATACTTGTCGTTTAGAAAATCAAGATTAAATATATTAATTTTTTCTATTTTGCCCTTAATGTTGAATTATTCTTGATAGTAAACAATATTAATAGAGTGTACTTTTATTTAAGAGAGATGAGGATAATTAAATTATTCAAAATTTATGATTTCTTAAGGGGAAATATAAATAACTGAGAGGGAGTAACATTTAGCACGGGAGCTATACATGGACGTACCTCAGTTACAACGGATATGTCCAGACAAGTACGAGAAAATGACATTATATTCATGTCACGAACTGAAAGATGCAATCTCTCCATTTCCGACGGTATTCTTCCGACAACTCCATTTTGTTTGTAGCAGTAAATGTTAATAAGTGCACTTTCATCAAATACTCTTACGTTGATCTCTGGCACTATGTCTTCCTCATTGCTGCTATAATCACTTCCTTCGGACAATGAAACATCCGAAGGAACTTTTGCTGATCTTTTGCTAGGGTTATTTTTTATTTCTTTTTCAAGAAATTTTACACGTTGTTGAAGCTCTTTCATGTACTGGTTAGTGTCTCCTAGTAGAGAAGCCTTGTCCATCTACATCACGAACCAAAGAAGAACTTATTAGTTCAAGTTGTTTATCTTTGGATGAATTAGAAAATTAAAGCGAAGACTTAAAATGTAACCCAAAGGGGGGGGGGGGGGGCGAAGCCTTGTCCATCTACATTATCCTAGTAATTATTTCAGCAACACCAGATGAAGGGCACTTATGTAGGTAAAACAAATAAGATGCATTTGACTATATGAGTATATTTATATGGACTGTTTAACACAAGGGAATGATCGAAATATTAAATTCACGGTTGGGTTAGCCATCCAAAAGACACTTTTAATAGAATGTGACATTGTTCGCTTTAAATAAGCTTGCATGATTTTTGCTGAAAGCGCCTCACGTCATTAGTGTCATTTAGGACCAAACTTAGACGAGAAGAAGGATATTTTCAAGGCAAGTTTTCTCTTCCAGAACCTATATTTTTTTTTTTTGGTGGAATGAAATTTTTTTATTCATCACCAGAACAAATATATTGAAGTAAAGCAAAAGACATCTCTACCACCTGACTATATATAATTCTATACTTACCCGTCTAGGCACAAGTAAGTCTATTTGTATCCTATAATGTACATGTATTATTTCTAACCTCTATTTAGCTATATACTTCTTCTATCCTTGTCCCGCTTCTTTTTGTTGACTATCTCCATCGCACGAACTTTGCATTTCTTTTTATCTGGGCACATATCTTGCTAGGCCTAGGCACAGCACATTTCCATAAAGCTTCATTTCTCCCCCTTCATATGTGATAGCTCAATGCAGCCAATATAGCATAGGAGAACTCCTTTCTAAATTTGCTCCCCATCTTCCTACCAATTCTTTTCCATAGATGCTGCCCTTCATAGTTTGTTATGCTTATTTTCAGCCATTGCAGAGCTTCATTGATACACAGCTTAGAGAAGTGACACTCATAGAACAAGTACTCTATTGATTCTGGGGCATTTCCACACAATACATATAGGCCATCTGAACTGATCCCTCTATTGGTTAGCCTATCCTTAGTTAGCAGTTTCCCTTGCATCATTAGCCAGCAAATGAAGCTATACTTTGGAACATTTTGCACATTTCAAACTCATCTTCCCCATTGGCAAGTATCCAGAGTCCCTCTCAGCCAAGAGTACCCTTTCATGATTGTGTATCCTCATATTTGTCTTTGCCATCTGCCCTGGTTGTACCCTCCTGCAAGCTTGTCTCTTACATGACATATTTTTTCCCAATACCAACTACTATCATGGGGTACACTATATAGCCACCAATCAGTTTTCTTTAAGTATATATGTGATCTATTTAACCCACAGAGAATCAGTCTTTGTTGCTATATCCCAAACATACTTCCCTATTGCAGCTTCATTCCAAATTATACAATCTTTTATTCCTATCCCTCCCTCTTGCCTTGGCCTACAAACAAGATCCCAGGCCACTAATGGTCTTCTATTTGTCTCCACCTTGCCATCCCATAGATAGTTCCGACATATTGAAGTGATCCTTTGAGCACTGCTTTGGGAAGTAGAAAGATTAATGCCCAGTACGTGTGGAGATGCATTAGCACTGTGTTGATCATTTGCACCCTCCCAGCATAAGACAGATGTTTTGAGCCTCAACTCCTTATTCTTGTTATTATTTTATCCACTAGTACTTGGCAATCTATTTTTTTATATCTTCTTCAATGATATTGGAATTCCTAAATATTTGAAAGGAAGGCTGCCTTTATTATAACCAGTTATTTCAAACAGATTCTCTATCTCCTGAGCCTCCATGTTAACAGTATATATGTTCGACTTCCCTGCATTAGTTGTTAGCCCTGAAGAGTTGGAGAATGTTTGTAGTCCCCTTAACATCGGCATAATAGATTGGTATTCACCTTTGCAGAACAGGAGCACATCATCTGCGAAGCATAGATGGTTAAGCTGTAAGCTTCTGCACTTTGCATGGTAGCCAAACCTTTCCTGCTAAGCCACTAACTTTATAATTCTTGTAAAGTACTCCATGCATATGACAAACAATAAAGGGGAGATGGGATCCCCTTGTCTCAAGCCTCTCTTTCCTCGTATGCTTGCATATAGCCCTCCATTAATTGCCATAGTATATTGGGTAGTTGAAATGCATTTTATGATCCACCTTATGAACTTCGTAGGAATATTTAGGGCGTGTAACATTTCCTCTACAAATTCCCATTCTATGGAGTCATATACCTTCTTGAGTTCTATTTTTATCAAGCAGCTCCTAGTTGCAGCTTTCCAGTTGTACAATCTGACAAGATCTTGGCAAATCAATATATTCTTCATAATTGTTCGATCAGCTACAAAAGTACTTTGGTTTTCAGAGATGATGCTCGGCAGGATGGTTTTGAGTCTATTGCATATCATTTTTGAGATGATCTTGTAAACTGTATTGCAGCAGACTATTGGTCTGTAGTCCCCAATTGCTTCTGCATGGTTACTTTTTGGGATCACTGTGATAACTGTGTTGTTTATTGCCTTTTGCATCTTCCCTGATCTGAAGAACTCAAAAACTCCCTCCTTAAGGTCAGTTTTTATGATGTCCCAACTGTCTTTAAAGAAGTTGCTACCATAACCATCAGGACCCGGGGCTTTTTCCCCATCAATTTGCCAGAGAGCCTGTTCGAGCTCCTTCTCAGTGAATTCTTCATTTAACATGTTTCTTTGTTCCTCTGTTACTACTGCCCCTTTCCTCACCAAATTAGTGCATACATAAGTCCTATCATCTTTTTTAGTTCCCAGAAGTCCAGTGTAAAACTCCATAAAAGCCCCGGCTATTTCCCCCCATAGAAGTGACCATGCTGCCTCTAGAATCTTTTATTGAGAAGATTTTGTTGCTTTTCTTCTGGACTTCATACAACTATGAAAGTATCTGGTGTTTTGATCTCCTTGCTTCAGCCATCCACTTTGTTTTTTTGCCTTAAGAACTGATTTGCTGCTTGCTTTGCTCTCATATATTTACTTCCCAGTTCCTGTTCCTTTGTAGCTAACTGCTGATTGGAGGGGTTTTGTTGGATTTGTCTTTGACAATGCTCTAATTCTTCCTTAGCATGTTCTGTTTGCAATTCAATATCACTGAACTTCTTTTTATTCAATTGCTAGAGCACATTCTTAAGCCTATTCAGCTTCCCCACTAGTTGATACATTTTTGTTCCTTTGATTCCATCCTTCCAACTAGATTTCACTTATTGTTTGAATTCCGGATCCATACTCCACATATTGAAATATTTGAATGGCCTGTTGTTTCTCTGATTTTCATTCTCCCAATTGATTATTGCAGGACTGTGATCCATCAGTCCTTCAGTCATGTAGTGAACCACTAAAGTTGGCAGCTCTATCATCCACTCTATGTTTACCAACACTCTGTCAATTCTACTCATTACTCTATCAGCTCCACTTTGTTTATTGTTCCAAGTGTAGAAAGCCCCTATTGGTTTTAGCTCTTCAAAGCAACATGTATCAACACATTGTCTAAAGTCTCTGATTTCAGCCATTGTCACTGGACTCCCTATCTTGTCTTCCTTGTTCAGAACATTATTAAAGTCCCCCATCACAGCCCATGAGCCTTGAGTATGATTGTATATATCAACTATCTCCTTCCACAAATTTCTCCTAAGAGCCATATCACTATATGCATATACCATAGTTACATATAGCCTCTTCCCAGTACCTTTATACCTTACTCCACTATGCATTAGCCGATCTGTTGTTCTTAGAATATCTACCTCATATATCATTAGTTTCCACATCAACCATATTCTACCCCTTGGGTGCTTTGCTAATTTTGTTGTAAACGACCATCCATCACATAGATTAAGAGAAGCACTATGAGCTTTGGCTCTTTTAATCTTGGTTTTCAGAAGCCCAAACAAGTTAGTCCCACTATTATACATAAACAGATGAATATCTTTCTATTTATCTGGCTTGTTAAGGCCCCTAACATTCCAAAATCTGATCTTATCCATTTGGTAAGGGGTTCATCCCACCCCTCCCCTGTTCTGGGCCACCCTTATCCTCTTCTCCCTCATGGACAGTAGTACTGGTTGCCTCCTGACTTTGTATTACTATAGCTTTGTCTGGTACTGCAAATGCATTCCTGATAGGGACTGCTTTGTCTTGTATATTCTTTGTCTGGCCTACATTACCTTCATTTGTTTCTTTCCTTATCCCCCTTGCTCTGTTTTCTCCCTTGTTCTGCCCTCCTTCTTTGGATGTCCCCTCCCCTGCTTTGGGTGTCCCCTCCCTTGCTTGCTTCTCTTTTTCAGTTTGCTTTGCCCTCACTTCTGTCCCCTCTACTACTTGCTTCTCCTTTTCAATCTGCTTCCCTCTCAGTTCTGCTTCTTCTTTGTGTAATTTCCTACCGTTTTGTAATTCATGTCCAAAGTTTTTGCACTTTGGATACAATGTAGGTTTCCATTCATAATATACTTCTTGTTTCACTATTTTTCCCATCTCATTCTCAAACATGACTTGTGTTGGGTAAATTTGATTTATTGACACTTCAACCAATATCCTAGCTAATGCAAGTCGCTTCTTATTTGTTGTTGCTCTGCTAGCCTTTAATGGCTTCCCTATCATCCCTGATATTTTGGTGAGAGCATTCTTCCCCCAATACTTAATATCCAGTCCCTTGAGTCTAATCCATACCGGAATTCTGTCAACTTTCTCTTTACTTACATCTATATCAGGTTCCCATGGTTTTACTACTACAGGCTTTTTGTCGAACATCTAGACTCCCTCCTCAATGACTTTGCTTCTGCTGTCAATTGTGTGAAATCGCACCAGAAACACACCTCTATTGACTTGCACAATCTTATCAATACCAAGCCCTCCCCAAATTCTACGAAAGTATCCATCAACTACAGCCAATGGAGGGTCGGATCCCAATACATAACATATTACTGTTGATTTCCAGAAAATAATTTCATCCTTGATGTCTTCCATAGTGATTTTCACATTTTCTCTCGATATTTCCTCACAATTGAGATCTAATCCTTCCACTTCTGGTGCTGTTCCCACAATTTTGCTCCATGAACTTGTTTTCCTGCTTAGTTGCTCCTTACTCACCTCATTATTTCCCGTCAATTCTGCTTCCACCCTATCCGCCCATGATCCCCCTGATTTCTCCGCCATTTGTGGAGTTTTCAACGGTGTCGTAGGAGACTTCGTTGAAGCAATTGGAGTCATCATTGAGTTCCTTGTAGTCATCTCATATCCTTGGCTTAAACCTAACTGCACAATTCCTTGAATCGCTTTGATGTTTCTCATCTTCTTAGCATCCACAAATTGTGGAATTCCATAGTTCCTCGGTTGATTGCTTGAATTTCCTACCTGACGTTGTAGCCCTCCCCCTCCATTCTTCGTTTTCCTCGTCAGTGTTACCTGAGAGGAAAATTCATTACCTATATTGTTTATATTTAGCCAGTACTAAAGTAAGAGAACCATCAAATATTTTTATTTGTGGAGGTATTGATCCCTAATCCCTCTCTACTACTCTTTGTATTCTTTTTTTGTTTACATTTCAGCCGCCTTTGGGTGATATATGGCCTTCATTTCAGTAATAACAAAAATCAAAAAAAAAAAAAGGAGAGAGAAGTTTTAATTAAGTGGGATTCGCAAACCTTCTTCAAGCCTGGAAGAATCTTTGACAAGGGAATGAATACCTGAGTCAACTTCTGTCTACGTTTCCTCTCCAATATAGCATGATCACCTGCTTCTACAGAATTCTTCTTGTATATATTATTATTTCCATTCGATTCTTCAAAATGGTGCGTTAAAGGGTCAAAGTATGATTTTTCAACATCTCTTTTAGTTGGTGTCGAAAAAGAAATGAGAACCTCAGAGCAGGAGGAGGAAGAAGAAGAGGAAGGTGGAGAAACGAGTGCTTTTTGCGCATTCTTTTCGATGATGCAAGTAGGGGTTAATGTTGAGTACATCTCAGAGAGAATAGGGTTAGGATTAAAGAAGTCGTCTTCAAGTAAGAAGTCATCAATCGAGCCCTGGTGGCTAAGGCCATCGTAATTCATGCCCTATTAGACAATTTAGAGAAGAAAAAAAGAAAAGATCAGAAATAAAATCTATTAATGATTTTGGTTTATGAACTAACTACCATATGTACATGAAGATCTATTGATAGATTTTCAATAGAGGAAAAAATTGAGAAAAGAATTTCTAAGATATTAATGAAAGATGTAGCATTTAGGAAATCAGAAACTTACATCTTTTGCCATATCCAATAAGGATTGTTCTATTTGTTGTGTACTTCCTATCTGACTTGAATTACATCTTAAATAAGGTTTTCCATGAGGAGAAAGGATTCAGTTTATGTTAGACAAGTATATTTCCAAGATATCATGAATAAGTCAAGAACAATTTTTTATTGGTATTCTATGCCAGAGAAAATGCTCCATCGTGTGAAAAGGCTATCATCTTCTCATTTGGCACTATTAAAATGGAGGCTCATTCTGTCACACACACACACATATATATATATATATATCTGTTTACTATTTTGAGAATTTTTTTTAAAATTTTATTTCCTTCAATAATTCAATGAGTTGTAGTCAAAAGGGCTCTTTCATTTCCTTCTTGAAAGTCATCATCCAAGCAAGATACATGTTCATATTCTTTTACTTTTTGTATACTCGTGTCGATGAAGAGTAAAAATTGCAAGGGGCGCCCTATTTGGTCGCCCCCATTTAACTTATACCTATTTTTTTTTAAAACTTTTAACTTGTACCCACTTTTTAAACAACTTCAGCCCTCTTTCTCCTCATCCTTCAATAAAGAGAACTCTCCTTCCATTTGCTATGCTTATTCCTTGGAGTAATATACGCAAACGAAGGAATAGGCTACAACTGACATTTGCTATGCTTATTCCTGCATTTCAACAGTTAATTGGGATGAATGTTATCATGTTTTATGCACCTGTTCTCTTTAAGACGATTGGTTTTGGCGATACTGCTTCGCTTATGTCTGTTGTGATAACTGATAGTGTTAATTTTATTGCCACCTTTGTTTCTATTCTTGCTGTTGATAGGGTTCGAAGGAGAGTTCTCTTTATTGAAGGCGGTTTACATAAATCTGTTATATAAAGACTTTTTACAGAGCCATTTTAGCTTTCGAGCTGAAGTTGTAACTGGCAAACTTCAGCTCTAGAGCTGAAGTTCGCCAGTTACAAACAAAAACTTCAGCTCTAGAGCTGAAGTTCGCCAGTTACAAAACAAAAACTTCAGCTCTACAGCAGAAGTTCGCCAGTTACAAATCACGAGTTATAAAACAAAAACTTCAGCTCTAGAGCTGAAATTCGCCAGTTACAAAACAAAAACTTCAGCTCTAGAGCTGAACTTCAGGCCCGACTACTTGAATGCTGAAGTTTTGCGTAATTGCCTTTGCTACTTCAGCCCTGTATGCTGAAGTTATGCGAAAAAAGCGGGTACGCTTGCAATTTTTTTTCAAAGCGGGCACAAGTTAAAACGTGACACAAAAAGCGGGTATAGATGAAAATGCCCCCGATGAAGATGATTAAATTTTAGATATTACAAATGGACATATTGTGAGCACGTAATTTTTGCCCTATAAGAATTACTCCCATAAAATACAAGAAAAATAGTTTTTTTCCAATTTTTGCAATTTTATAGGATTTTTTGTAGTATTTTATTAATTATTTATATTTTTGTGCATATTTAATTTCCATTAAAAATTATAAAAGCCAAAAAATACCATGCAATATATTTAGGTTTGATTTTACATTTTTTGAAATTAATTAGCAAGTATTTATTTTATTAAAAAACGAAAATCCCAAAATAGCTCATTTTACACCTTTTAACTTTAGTCTATTAATCTTTCCTTTTGATTTAGGACTAAGTAACTTAATAATTATTGTGACTAGGCAATTAGTTTAATTTTACAACTTACATTAATTTGGAGTTTATTTTAGGATTTTATTAATTAAAGAAAGAAGAAGACAAAACAAAAGAAAAAGGGAAAAATGAAAAAAAAGGCTGTTTTTAAAACCAATTGGGCCACTTGACTGCTAAGCCCAAATTCCATCCCAACCAGCCAACATTTAAAACCACCCCAGCCCAAATTCACACACTCACCCGCCCGTCTGCCTTTAAACCGACCCACCCCACAAACCCTCATATTTGAGCCTCATGTATTTGCCCTGGAACAAACCCTAAATCCCCAAAACTCGGAAAAGTGGCGCATAGTACTATTCAATCATCTTCCTCGCCCAAACTAAGCCCAATTCAGTCCAAATTCAGGCGAGTGAAGCCAAACTCGCACCACACGTCTCCCCTTCTCTACTACTGCCATAGTGTAACGGTTTCTGACACCAAAGATTTCCCTCCCCCTCACTTGCCCGAATTCGAGATATAGCACGCAATTGGAAGGTTCTGGAGAACGATCGTTGGATGAGTGTGAGGCGTTGGATCAATTTCACTCAATTCGAGCCCCACATTCATCAGAGGTTCGTTTTCAAAATGACTGATTCCGATTTTGTAAAGAGGAGGATTTTGGGGGAGTGAAAAAAAAAACATAAGAGGTTGAAGAATTTTTCTTGAGCTTCTCACTTTCTCTTCTCTGAAAATTTCTTTTAGAGTTTCTTTCAAAGAAACATATGCATTTTTTTTTTTGAATCTGGTTTTGAGTTCCAAAGAGATGAAAAATGAATTGAGGTCACTCGATTGGTGGTGAGGTTCACGTTCATCGACTTCAATTTTCTACTGTTTTCCTGCTGATTTGCTGTTGAACCTCGCTAGGATTTTGGGACCAAATGATGTATTTGCTAATTTTGTACTTATTGTAAAAGAAGTTTGCAATTTCAGCTATTGGATTTTCTTGTATTCAACGTTCGAGCAAAGTTAATCGGAAATGTTTACTGATTCAGGTTCATTTCTAATCTCTCGTAGCTTATCTTTGGCGTTTGATTAAGAAATGTATTGAGAGTTTGAGTTCAACTGGTTTAGAACTGTTTAAAGCTTGGTGACTGTTGGTCATAATGTGTTTGTTTGCTAATTGCACGAGTATTTCTGGTTTGGTTTGGCTGTGTATATGTTAAAATCAGTTCTCTAAAATCATTCTTTATTGTCCTCTGCTGCATCCTTACATCTATTCATATCGTTTCTTTGTCTAAAAATGAAAGATGATTTCAAGCAGCCATATACTCGATACCTATTTGATCTTTTAGCTGTTTGTTTGAAATTAGATGTCAACTGAGTTCTGAAATTGTTCGTTGATGTTCACTGATTGTTGTCGATCCAGTTAGTTCGACTCAGCATTTAGAACTGTTATAACGCTTTGCTAAGTTTTGGTCGAGTCATATTTTAAATTAGTTCAGTTCGTACCACATAGCGAGGCTTGGTTCTTCCTTTTCGTGTACGAGATTTAAAGGAATTGTATGAATCTGTTGGAATATTGTTAAGACGTGACAGTGATGAGGTTTATGAGACCAGCCTCAGTTCTTTAAAAGGTTCCTTTTGGTTAAATTAAAGTTTTAAAAAACAGAATCGAAAAAACCATTTTCTGAGTTCTTTGCTTATTCTTATACAAACTAGTATCGAGCTTTTTCTTCAAGTATGAAGCAGAGTCAAGTTGCTCCTTACTTTACATGTTCAGAAATGAGTTTGGTGAGTTTTTTTTTGCTGAAGTTTGAATTTGAAATGAGTGCTGAGTTCATCCTTGAAATGCTAAAAATTTGGAGTTCTGAACTGCTGAATTCATCT